CTAGTCATTACCTTTTTAATTTTTTCTTTTTTTTATTATAGCGAAAGTAGTCTTCAGGAAAAGTTCTCCAGGCTTCTTGAAGGACATTCAATTCAATTCAATTCAATTCAATTCAATTCAATTCAATTCAATTCAATTTTATTTATATTGCACCAAATCACAACAACAGTCGCTCACAGGCTTTATATTGTACAGTAGATCGTACAATAATAGATACAGAGAAAAACCCAACAATCATATGACCCCCTATGAGCAAGCACTTTGGCGACAGTGGGAAGGAAAAACTCCCTTTTAACAGGAAGAAACCTCCGGCAGAACCAGGCTCAGGGAGGGGCGGGCCATCTGCTGCGACCGGTTGGGGTGAGAAGGAAGACAGGATAAAGACATGCATTCAAAGCTCTCTTTTGGATGTTGGCTGCCTTTATTCCCTTCTTGTCAAGATGATCCCACTATTCACTAATGTTGAGGTCCAGGGTTTGGGGAGGCCAATACACAACTGATCTCTTCTTAAAAGAAGCCGTCCTCAAAACAGAAAAATTCCACCTGCTACTGTGGAGGAGTTGGATCAACTGATGGGAAAAATATTTTTCCAAGCATAGTTCTGTTCTGAATAGCCCATAATGTTTTAATTTAGGGAGGCCTGTAAATAATTTGCATTTACTGATTATGTACTTACTAATTACCACTGTTCAAAAGTTGAATAAAGAAACAAACAAATGTTTACCTATTTTTAATTAAAACCACCTTATAGAACATCACATCGGTTACAATGTAGAGTCAATGTCATTTATAGTTTACAAATGACAAAATGTTTACATAAAATCATGACAGCATTTATATAATATCACCCACTTTCTGTAATTCTGTAATTTACTGTCTCTTTTGAGAATGTATCACTGCATAAACAGCACAAGACTTTTAAGAGTATTTAACAAGAGCATTTTTCCCTGGTTTTACTAACACACTGGGGCACATGTTCACCAAAACGCAGCAAACCTTTGCCATCTTATCCAGGATGGTCACCTTTTCACCCTCACATGGAAGAAGTAATCTGATTGGCATGGTGGTATGTAGCATGTAGTATGTATGTAGCATGGTATGTAGCATGTACAAAGATTTCGTAGTGCCCCATATGTAGTGTTGGAACCCAGTCAGGATTTGTTTCATTCATTTCATAGGCTGGTTTGTTGCAATAATGCCAAATAATTAGCAAATTTAGAAATAAAGGTAGTTCTGCATGTTTGTTCTAATTTGCTATGACCTCAGAGCGCATTGAAAATAAAAAGAGTAATATGAACTTATTTAGAACTTACCAGAATGAAACTACTGAAACACACCAACAGATATCTGTGGCTGGTAGAGATCTGAATATCAGCTCGTCTCACAGCTGCTATCCAGGCTAGACACCTTCTTTTGGTAACATCCAACACATAAGCTCCCTCATGATGCTTCCAGGTGAGGAAACAATGAAAAGAGAGCCCATTTTCAAGCTTATTCCCTTGCCGGTAGTGCAATCTAACATTACAACCGACCACACAGCAAGCATTTGTTTGGCCTGCTAATATGGCGCCTCAACCAAAAATCCTGGCTACGCCCATCCGGTGAGATCACGGTCCAGAGCCCTATTAACGTACGGATCTAGAAAGAAGACGCTGCATTTTTAACTCTGATGGAGATGGAGAATGAGCCTATTTCCAAAAAAGTGGAGTGTGTTCCTTTAAGTACTATGTTGTATATATTGTCACAAACTAAAGTGTACATAGCAGTTGTTGTATCTTGTTTACTGTATCACTGACAGATAATTTCAAAGTCAAGTGAACGCTACATTATCTGTCAGTGCGCCCCAGGGTGGCTGTGGCTACAATGTAGCTGCCATCACCAGTGTGTGGATGTGTGTGTGAATGGGTGGATGACTGTATATGTAAAGCGCTTTGGGGTCCTTAGGGACTAGTAAAGCGCTATATAAATACAGGCCATTTACCATTATAGTGAGATATTGTGTAATGTGAAATACTGTAAACAAATGAATAAACAACCTAATTCTTGCTAAACCTTTGACTCTGTTTTTTTTTAATCCAACTGTTTTTTGCAGATGAACATAAAACATGTTGTTACTTTTAGTATTATTATTATTATTATCATCATCATTATTGCACTAAATACATTTTAAATAAAGGATACTTTGATATACATTCTACTGTAAGGTTGGAAATGTGTTTTCTTCACTCTGAAATATCTTTTGAAATGCATTTTGGTTTGAAAAAAATATATTTTCAATTTCAAAAATATATATTTTTGAGCATCACAAATACAACATATATTTACCATATATTTGAAATATATTTTGGCCAGGAAAAATGTGATCTTTGATAGTGTTCCCCACCAATGCTATGGAAATGACACCGTTAGAGTCCTCACTGCTATCCAAAAGCAACATCGATTATCTTAAATTCTTGAGTGATGCCAACATTTTATAAACTTCCCTGAAAACAAATCTGATGTGTTGGTTATGAGTAGAGTTTCTTATATCACCTCTGCCCACAGTGAGCTTGGTTCATGGACTAAAGACACCAAGCAGACTGATAAAACCATGGAGATGTTTTTAAATCTGACCTCTGTTTTGAAGTTAAAAAACTTCGGATATAAAATAATAATGATATTAATAATCATCATCTTTTTTCTTTTTTTTTACTTTTAGCTGTGTTGTATTTTCTCTAGGCTCTAGATATTTAACATTAAGTTTCTGTTATGTTTTTAACCTGTAATGTTTACTTGTAGTAACACTTGAACTTCTTGATTAGGTTTCTTTCTTCTTCAGAGCCTGAAGCTTTCCTTCGCAGACTGTCTGTGGTGTTTTAGCTTTCCCGTATTCACCTTCCTCAAGGTCTGCTCAGTGCCGTCCATCCCCCATCACATCTGCTCCTCTGTGGGATTACAGCGCAAATGTCTGTCTGAAACACTCTGTGCTGAGGGGGGAGATTACAAGTGCACTGCACCGTCCAAGAGAGGTTAACCAATCAGGGCATGCAGATGCAGGGATTAACCAATTGCACCACAGAGAGGGAGGGCAGAGGGATTAAACAGAGCACAGAGTGGGATTAGGTCAGTGTCGAGTGCAGAAAAATGCTTTGAAATGTCCGTTGCTACCCGCTCACTACTCTCGCTGCGCTACATTTTCATAGCCAAGGGCTGTGATCAGATCATTTGCATGGCAGCAAAAACTGGTATTACTTATTACTGTAAATATCAGAATGGCATCAGAAATGTGTCATCAAACCTTTTATGCTAGTGTGGCTGACATGAACAGTTTTTGTGATACTCATCTTGAATGGCAAATTGTTCCATTTTTGGGTAAAAACATGGAATTTATTTAAAACATTTGACCAAACCTACTGCAACACACAAACTGCTCCTATGTGATGTCAGCAGTAAGTTGGTGTTGCAGTAATCATGTTGGGACTGTCAGAGGAGCGGTGAAATAAGTGGAACCGCTCAGCTGATAGTGAGCTAACACAATTAATGAAGCAACTGTAAGCAAAAAGCACTTTATTAAACTGCACTGTGGTCAGTGAGACAGCTGTTTTTGGGAGATGTGCATGACAACAGAGATGCAGCTAAACTGAAAAGGCTTTAAGAGAGAAAACAGCCAGAGGTGGAGGAAAAAGTAATACTGCAAAGCTGATGGGAGAGAATAGACAGAAAAGATGGAGGGAAACAGGAGAAAGAGGGGAATGGAAGTGGAAGAAGAGGCTGAGGTAGGTGACAGACAGAGGGAGGTAGGGCAATAATCCTAACTAATTCACTTAGGGCATTGCTGAAGGGATTCTAAGAGGATTGGAACACTCCCAGAATCAGATAAGCTAAAATAACCAAGATGGAACAGTGAGAGCCATGCAGGCCTTATGACAAACATGGCGGCTCCAGAGCCCAGTGCTACAACATGGCCACTTTACATCCAAAGTCCACTTCACACTGACCCCTAACTGTGACTTCCAAATCCGCTAAAGCTACACTTTCAAACTGGAACTCATCCCAAAGATCATCAGTGCGCAAACATGTAAAGAATAGATCACTTTAATGTCTCACATTTAAAACAGAAAATCTATTTTTTTCTCCATCAAACAGATCAGGATGATGACACTAAAGGTGAACACTGTAATACTTAACACGAAAGCTAAAAAAGATCTAAATGCAGTCAAATTAGATATTCAAATGGAACTTCAAATAATAATATTAATAATAATAAATAGCTCAAAATAACGTAACCCTGAAGGAGGACCTACAGGAGCTCCTCCAGGACAAAAAGCTCTCCTTTCACTCTATGCAAATGGAACACAAAGTGTGTGTGTGTGTGTGTGTGTGTGTGTGTGTGTGTGTGTGTG